AAAAAGAAATGGACTTACAGCTGAGGACAAAATAGTCCTCACACCTGCTTGATCTTGTGACCCTGTTAGGATTCTCCTCCTTTACCTCAGGTCAAAGTTAAATGTAGGTTAATCAGGCCCCAGGCTCTGCAGTACGAATTAGAGAGGAGACTAGGAACTGGTCATTGTTATTTCCTGCCTTTCCAGCACACTGTATCCTGTAGTTATTTTAGTGAGAGTCCACTATGTTTTAAAGAAAGTTTATATTAGAGACTGCAGAAGCTAAAGAAGAATAAGAACAAAAACCCTCAGCAGTTCATGTCAGTGGATGTAGCATTCATTTCATATTGAAGCTGCACAGTTGTTTTTCTCACTCAGCTGCTGAAAGCGATTGGAGGAACCCTGAAGTCCAGGAGATCCGAGACCAGGAGCTAACTGGTTCAGTCAGGTGGAGTGAGGAGCCCTCTGGCCCATGTCCCTTATCTGCCCAGCCTAATAAGGTGTATTTACCAAGGGAAATGTTCCTCAAACTGTCATCTGTAGTTCACTCAGGTTAGTTCCTCGTGCTGAGCACCAGGACTAGGTCAACCCCTTCGGACCCAGATGATAATCCATGTGCTGTGGGAGGGCACAGGGCGAGATTCCCTAATGTGGAGCTGGCCACCAGGGACCCGGAGCCTGGAGGCTAGTAGGAGAGCCATCAAACAGGAGATACAAACTGTACTTAGTACCCTTGTAAGAAAGAGAATGAGGAATAAATCTCTTCGCCCTCTTCTTCCTATATTCTCATTCTGTACTATATTTTGTGTATCAGAGCTGGCTCTTCAATGACCTTTTTACCAGCTATACAATATTTATTATAAATTAAAAAGGTCCCTATCGAAAATTCAGTGGTAAAAACAAAGTTACATATAATCTCATTATCCAAAAATAGCCACTGTTAACATTTTAGTGTATTTTCTTTTTTCCTGTTTGCACATACTTCTCCTCACAAAGCTGAAGCCAGACATATTTGTGTATATATGTGTATTTGTGGCATATAAAGCTTTGTGTTTGATTTTCAAAACTGTGTAATGAATGTTTCCCCATTTTGTTTCGTTAGTCTCTGAAAATGTGACTTTTTAAAATGAGTGCAGAGTGATTTCCCAAAATTAGACATTATGGTGGTATTTTAGTTCCATTCTTCTACCATAACTCTGAGCAAACAGTTTGAAACCAACAAATATAGCTGTAGAAATATTAAATATTACATCTTTGGGCTAGCGTTATGGAATAGCAAATAAGGCCTCTGCCTGCATTGCCAGCATTCTATATAGCCACAGCCACCATTCAGCTCCCTGCTAATGTTCCCAATTTAGCAAGTCCCAGCCACTCTGCTTCCAATTCAGCCTGGAAAGAAGCAAAATATGCCCCAAATGCTTGGGCCCCTGCACCCAGGTGGGAGATCCAGAAGAAACTTCTGGCTCTTGACTTCATCTTGTCCCGACCCTAGCTATAGTGGCCTTTTGGAAAGTGAGCCAGTGGTTGGAAGATCCCCTCTCTGTCTTACTGTCTCTCTCTGTAACTCTTTCATATAATTAATTAATTAATTAATTAATCTTAAAAAGGATTCAGAGTGTTGTTTGTTTTTGGAACAGAAGTATCAAGTCACACAGAAACCTGCTATGCCTTTGTGGCAACAGCTTGGTAATAACAAAACCAGTCTCTGGGGACTGCTACACAAGTGGCCCTCCAAGATGCACTGACTCCACCTCATTTGCCTCTCAGCTGATCAGAGTGACTGGCTGTGATACAGGTAAGCTTTTTGGATAGAAGGACTATTTATTCGGGAATAATTGTTGGCAATGATGGTGAACTGGAAAATCTAGTCACCAATAATGTGTCTGAAGTGTTTAGGTGTATGTTCTGATTCAGTCTGGTCACTCTGTGCTTATGTGACCATGCAGAGATGCTTCATTAGACTTACTGTTTTTCTGCAAACCACAGGTGAGAAGGGTGCAAGCATAAGTTGATTGATTCATGTTCCTCTTTAGTAGCCTGTGGATTTTTTTTTTTTTTGGTTCATGTTTCTCTTTTCTTTTTCCTGTTATATCGTGAAATGTTATAAGAATCTTACACAAGACTTCAGCTTCATTCAGTTAATTAAAAAAATTGTTAGGTACTCATGGCATATGAACTGCTATGATAGATATGTGAAAGACTAGGAGAACGTGCTTTACTGCCTGGTAGGGGAAATAAGATAAACAAAGCTAAGCAGTTAAAATTAAATCATTATTTAACAACAGAGAAACAGAAAATAGTGTAATGAGGGAAATTGAACTGCATGTACAAATTCAGTTTTATTGAAGAATACACATATAAAAGACAAACTAAAATGAACACTATAAAATGGTAACAGTAGTTGGATGATAAATTCAAAGTAATTTTAGTGTTTTTTTTTCTTTCTATTTTTTTTAAAAAAAGCAGTTTTCACAATGAACATGTTTTCTATAAGAATGCTTCAAAATGTTTCTGGGGAAATTGAATTATAAGAACTTTATTTTGGTGCTAGAAACATTTAAAATTCATGAACAATTTTCCAGACTATGCATTTTTGAGAATTTTTATTTTTAGTGGAAAGACAGATTTACAGAGGAGAGACAGAAAGAAAGATTTTCTATCCACTGATTCACTCCCAGATGGTTACAGTGCCTGAGCTGAGAAGATCCAAAACTTGGAGCCAGCAGCCTCTTCTGAGTCTTCCACGTGGGTGCAGCATTTCAAAGACTTAGCTCAACCTTCCCAGACCATAAGCAGAGGGCTGATCAGAAGTGAGGCAGCTAGGACACAAACCGGTGCCCATATAGGATCCTGAGACTTAGAGATGGAGGATTAGCTTGTTGTACCATGTGACAGCCCTCTGAAAATTTGTTAAAGATCCTGCATACATGTAAATTTCAAAATTTTTGCAACCAAAGCAAACCTTTAAATTCTATTTCCTATGTACTTTTTGAAACGCCCTCATGTTAGAATCACTAGACAGAAGTCTTACTGAAGGAATGAGAGTAATATAAAGCAGTAAGAGCAGTGGAAGTGCAGAGGAGCAAATATTATGTCTGTGCTGGGGGAGGATCTGGAAGGCTGTAGGATTTATGTCTTTCCTAATGGTCAAAAACTTTCACACCTTAGAATTTGGGTAATAATGTTTTAGTGAGTTGGAAGGGGACATTATTCCTACAACTTTTACCTCTACAGCAGTAGAGGTCAGCAGTGCTAGTAGCTATTATCTGCTATGTTTCCTTTCAGATTTTGTATTATTTTAGGTATTTTTTTTTTTACTGTAACTACCACAGAGAAATATTTCTTAAGTCAGTAGACACTGTCAGTCACTAGCCATGTTCCTATTTAGAGTATTTACATTTGGCAATGGATTTTTCTACTAACCCCAAAAGCGTCTTTGATTACTTCTTCCTATTCTTCTGAAGACTTTTGTGTCTGCTAATATTCAACTCACAGAGCATGGGTTTTCCAGGGTCAAATAGGTCGCTAGGAAAATGTCTTAGTGTAATATTGCACAAGCCATGGACTTCATTGGCCTAAGAGAATCCTGTCCCCTTAGTGTCACCCAGGGACACCCCTGGGTGATAGGGGCTACTTAGGCTTGTGGCTACAATTGGAGAGATTTATGAGGACAGAGTTGAGATGTAATTCCCAGGCTCCAGCTAACCTAAAGGGCAAGAGTCTTGGCTCTGTGTGACCCTGGATGAATTATTTATGTTCTGTATGCTGTAGTTTTCTCATCCACAAATTGGAAATAGTAGCACCTGCTTCTTAGGCTTTTTCTGAATATTCAACTCAGCCTTTGTAAGTGCTTGACATGAAGACACTATTTTAGGTAGTACTGTAACCAGACTGAAGGATTGTGGTGAGTTTTTTCTTCTTCATTGATAACAGGAGGAAAGGGAAGTAAATAAATGTGAGAGGGTATGATTAACTTTGTTTCTTTGAAATAGTAAGGGAGGACAGAACACGTAAATAATAATTGCCCTAAAAACAAGAATAATTGCCCTGTGGTGTGATTCATGCAACAATAAAAGTGTGTTCGAGATAAAGAAAGAGTAATTATCTAAATATGAGGCTGGAGAGAGCTTTGAGAAATGCTACTTGGGCAGAGGTGTGAATAAGTAGTAGGGGTAAGTGAGGGTAGGAGTGATGGGGACCATGCCAGGCACAGCAAGTATGAACAGCACTATGCCTTTGCAATGATGCTGCTAGAACTTAAAGTGTGGGGAGTAGTGAAGGATGGCGCCAGAAAGGCAGGTGGGTTTAACTTGTGAGTATTAGAGGCTTGTATTTATGTCAGAGACTCTCAAAGAACCGGAGCCTTCCCTGGGCCCTTTCTCCTAGCCTTTCCAGAACTGCTGTAGGCCTTTCATGTCAGTCCTGGCTATATTCTTGGCTATTTCTCTCCATTTCAAAGCGTGGACTCCATAACTTGAATATGTACTGATCACATCTCCTCCACCTCTAACTTGCCCCAGTTTAAATCCAGAGGGGCTGATGACCATTGCCTGGGAAGGAATGACTTTGGATCCAGATGAATTCAACTGTGGCTCATTTGGAGATGGGTTGACACAGTATAGAAAGAGAATACTAGTTTTGTGTAGTAGAACATGTAGACCTGCACAGGATCAGCCTGTGTGGACTTGACTCAGTGAGCTGTCCCACAGAGCATGCTGGGGTTCGGGCAGCATCTGTCGGCTGAGGTAGGCTGGGGTCTAGAGGCAGTAGCTGTACAAAACTTTCTTTGAATCTACAGCAGGTTACTGCACACCATATTCGCTGTTGGCTGATGTTAATTTTCTGATTTTCATTTTATGCCTTAGATACAGTTTAATTTTGGAACTAGAATTTTTATAAAAAATTACTTTTAACAAATTCATGTATTGATAACTTTATAGAGCAAACCCAGGGAGTATACTGAACTGTTCGTTGTGGAAGGCCTTAAATTACACCATGCTTTTCTTTTTGTTCCTTCCAGAATGTCTTCCTTTTTGGTGACTATCAACATACTTCTACTTCTTCATAGTGCAGGTGAGTCACTTGCAAAAAAACTTTGTGTAAAAGCATTGGGGATGATAAGAAAAATGGTAGCTTAGAGGTAAACAAGCAAACAAGCAAATTACTTAATCCTTCCAAACTCAGTCTTTTCATTTGTTAAATGGGAGTAATAAATACCTAGTATATTCCTTACCAGGCCTGGGAAAGATTGAGGGTGTTGGGAGGGTGGGGTGGAAGTGACACACACACATTATAAGCACATTATTTATTCTATTCTTTCTTTTTTTTAAAGTTAAGAAAATCTCTTACTTTATCCTACCCCTAATTTGATTTGTTTGGTTTGAGGCCAAATCTTGATGACTAGTCTTATTCTCATCTAAAGTTTGAGAACCCCAACCAACAAAAAAAAACAAACAAAAGCAAAATCCAGGCTCCTTAAGTGACTCTGACAAATGCATATTTAAGAACATATATTTGCAGAATATTTGATGTCAGAGCTATCCATAAAATCTATATGCAGTCAGCACAAGGGTTATGGAACTCACTGTGTCCAATGCTTCAAAAATCTTAGTCATGAATATATAGATGTTGGAAAGGTTTATGTAATTCTAGTAAATGAAAGTCTTTCAGCAAAAATTTGTAAAAGAAAAAAAATTAAAAGCATGATAAACCCAGACTTGCAGTGGAACTGTTCTGTGGAGTGACCAACCACATGGACAGCCTCAGGCATGTGCCATCTCTTAGGGGACTGTGACAATCTGCTTTTAAAGAGGCCAGAGGATGGAAGGTGTCCCCAGGCTCCAAAGATCTGATCAGGAATTAGAATAAAGCCAAGTCCAGCCAGGTGACTAGATCCTTTCTTTGGATGCTTGGTTTCTCTTTCTCCCCGAACCCGTGTGTGTGTGTGTGTGTGTGTGTGTGTGTGTGTGTGTGTGTGTGTGTGTGTGTGTGTAGGGGGAAAATGAGGTGGTAATCCACTCAGGAAAAACCTGATCAAATATGTGAAAGGAAAATATCTCAGTGAGAAGAGAAAGAGAACATGTCTGTTTCTTCTTCTAATATCTTTCATTTCACAGCAGAATTTACAACTTATTTATTTCCATGTGCAGGTACATTAGCATAGTATCTTTCAGCAGTACCCAATGGGTTTTCTTGTATTATTAGGGTTTTTTTCTTTCAGATTTTTTTGAGATTTTGCCTCAGCTTCTTAAAGCTTTGAAGGGTGATTATATAATGGTTTAGAAATAGCGTAGGTGAGTTAGAATGACTACCATCTGAAAATAAAAAACAGCAAATGCTGGTAAGGATGTGGGGGAAAAATGTACCCTGATCGTTCTTGGTAGTAATATAAACTAATACAACCATTATGAAAGATAGTATGGAGATTCCTCAAAGATCTGAAAATAGATTATGACCAAGTTCTCTTATTCCTGTGAATATACCCAAGTAAAATTAAGTCAGCATTTGAGAGATTATTTGTACACCCATGTTTATTGCAGCTCAATTCACAATAGCTAAGATATAGACTCAATCCAGATGTACAATAACAGATGAGTGGATAAAGAAATCAAGAAAATGTGATATATAGGAATACTACCATGGAATAGTACTCAATCTATAAAAAAGAATGAAATCCTGTCTTTTGCAACAAAATGGATGCAAATGAAAATCATTATACATAGTGAAATAAGCCATTCACAAAAGGTTAACTACCATTTGTTTTCCCTGATCTGTGGTAACTAATACACGGACTGACACTCTGAGGTTTGATTATTGTTTACAGCTTTTGTCTATACTCTGGAGGAATAGTAGGCTTTTTCCACTTGGTAGTTGTTGAATTCTTTACCTGATGGAGTGTTAAACCTGTGATTGTAAAGTAAGATTAAAGTATGCCATTGTAACATTTAAAAAAAGAGAAAGAAAAAGATGAAAGAAGGGTAGGCTTGGAAGTATCATTGTGCTCCTACATCTGTGCTAGTCAATAAGAAATTTATTCACTTTATGTAAGTAAGTTAAAATATATTTTAAAAAGGAGGAATCTTGGAAGAAAAAAATGACAGGAATTGAACTAAGTAAAGGAGTTATTTAGATTCAAGTAGGACCATCTGCAGACATATCAGTCACAAGTTGGCTTTTGTATTACCAGTTACATCAGCAGTAGATCATGTCTCATGATTTGTTGGCTTGCTTGTATTCCTAAATTAGGACTTTCCCTAGGGACCAGAATGCGCACAGCTGTAGCCAGACCACCTGAGTAGAAGAATTAAGGATTGTCACATATTCTTGTGAGAGATTGGGAGAAGGAGCATCTTACTGAAATACTCACTTATGTGCTCTATTTCTTGTTGCTCTGGAAAATGACTGATCCATGTCAGATAAAAAACAGTCCCTGAGCATGAAAAGGAATCCCAAGGTATTTGCTAACAACTCTGGGGCAGATGTTATTATGCTAATTGTACAGGAGGAAACTGTAACTCATAAAGATTACAAAACATTACTAAGGGGGTATTTGGCAGTAAAACTTGAATCTACAGTTTAGTAGGCCAGGACTTAGAAAAAAAAATAAACTACTGCTTCTTGGTGATAGTTGTATCAGAAATATAACAATAATTCAAGTAAGAAAGCACCTGGACTTTTTATTTACAAGTCCAAATTTTTGCTCGAAGTTTCTCCCTGCCTCCTTCTTCCATCCTTATATCCATCACTCATTCATTTAATTAGTGATTGATTCATTTGTCAAAGTTAGACGGAGGGTCTGTGATTAGCAGCTAAAAGAGCAAGCTTGCAAGAGTTGGCTTCGCAACCTTGGTTTTATTCAAGCCTTTGCTGCTGCTCACCAAGATGCATGTCCTTGAGCAACTCCACTGCATGGTAGATTTTTCTTGGTAGTTAGCTGGGGATTCTAATCCTCACCACCTCCAGGCTATCTCACTGATTGAGAGCTTTAATTCCAGAAAAGGTTTCAGACTCTGTCTCACACATTTTAACTACTAGATAAATGCTACCTGGTATAGTCAGTGTTCTCCAGACTAACAGAATAATCTGAGAAAGCAGGAGTGGGAGCAATTGATCGATTTTAAGGAATCAGCTTATGCGATTTTGGAGGCTGAGAAGGTCCAGGCTGTGTCTTCTGCAAGCAGGAGGCCCGAGGGAAACTATGGTGTGGATCTGAGCCCAAAGGCTCGAGACCCAGGGAGAACCTGTGTTTCCAATTGGAGTCTGCACCAGGAAGAGGCTGCTCAGCAGTACCATCTTGCTGGTAGGAAGACTCACTTTTTTTATACAATGAAGACTTCAGCTGAGTGGATGTGGACTGCTGTGTGAAAGAGCGATCTGTTCTCCTGGATCTACCCATTCAAAGATTAATTTCCTCCCCAAACACCCTCATAGACACACCCAGGGTGATGCGTGGCCGCCAATAAGCATGTAACTGCTCCTGTTGCACTGGCTCTCAGTTGCTTGGAAGCTTCCCTGCCTATCTCTCTGGGATTTCATCTTGGGATTTTCTTTTATTTCATCTGCCCTGATTACATCAAAGAGTAACTTAGGCTCACACCCACCAACTTTTCTTTTTCACTACTCGTCAAGTGCAGAGTCTCAGGGAGAAAAAATAAAATTACCTTATTAGAGTCCCTACTTTCTCATTATTCTTGTCCTTAATTTGGGGATTTAATTAGTCTTTTAGGCTAAAAAAATTTGTAGCATTGTCCCTAAATACCATTTTTAACTCTAGGAAGTCTTACTTCTTTTTTTGTTTGTTACCATTATCTTAACATCATAACCAGGGGCAATTTTTCTTCCTGGGCATCAGTTTTGTATTTTAGCAGGAGTCATTTGACAGAAGATTTTTGATTAGGAATTTAATTTATAGGGTAAACTAGAGAGGGATAATTCTGATTTAAGTGATAAGGGGAAAGCTACTGATGTGGTCTTTCCCTGATCATCAGCGGCAACCTCTGGGACACCAGTTGGAAGTATTGAATCATGTCATGATTTTATGAATAGTCCATGGTACACATGTCAATTCTCCACAGCCTTCAGCTCTTTCACTTGCTAACTGTGCCCAGTGTGGTTGGTAATATGTGACAAAAGCAGGTTAAAATTCTGGACATCAGTTTCTGCCTTTCTTTAGGGCTTTCTAGCATCACTGAAACTGGAAAGTGAAAAATGACATTTTTGAGATTTGTTTGTAGATAGGATCCTAGGTGTGATGTAGACCCTGCCCATCAGATACTCTTGTTCATTGATGATATTGGCAATCAATGGAAATGGGGATAAAGGTGATAGTGATGAATCATCCTGTCTTTTTCCAGTGTGTCTCCAGTAAGTGCAGTGTGGCACTGTAAGCAACATTGGTGCTGATGAGGTCCTGATTTACTAGGTTCCTAGTAAGGCAGAGGCAACAGCTTCTGCAGGGTTGTTCTCAGCATCACTTGATGTGGGGGAGAAGAGAACAAACATTGCCCATGTTGCCTTCCGATAAATTTGAGAATCATTTAGATCCCTGCTCTGAATTCCCATGTGTTTGAAATAGCATTTGTTATCAAGGCTTGCCTATGCAGTGTTCATTGGTCCGTAGTAACACTACTTCTCTGTTGTTCTCAGTGTCTACAGAAGAGGAATTGCGGGCTCACCCATTCACTGATGTTACCCTCTCTTGCCATTTCTCCTTTGTGAAGGACACAGAGAATCTTGAGTTTTCTTGGAAAAGAGAAGACATCATAGAGGAATATGAGGTAGAGGATGACAAGGAATATTATCGCTTTTTAAGGCATTATGACATTTTTGAAGTTTTCTCGAAGTTGGTTTACCAGTTCCACAATAATACAGAGCAGTTGGAGGACCAGAACTCCCTATATGAAGGAAGGGTCTCTGTGGATCGAGATGAAATCTTTGAGGGGACTCTATCACTTTTGTTAAGAAATGTGGATTTCTTGGATGAAGCTGTGTACAAGTGCTCAGCTATCACACCAGATGGAAGAGGGGAAAGTACAATTAAACTAATAGTAGAAGGTAAGGGAAAAAATTTTTTTTAATGAATCTGGTTTCAAACCTCTATTTCTAAAAATAAGTTTCAGTTTGGGGCTGTTCTCACTTCTCAATTACTCACATTGTTATAGATTTTTCTTGCCCCTACAATAATAGTTGGAATGTCAGTTCATCTTTGCTAAAAAATATTGCTCTTGGGGTATACACTGTGGATACCACCTGGCATGCATGTAACCTGTATCAGAGTGCCTGATTGGAGTCCCAGATTCTTGGCTTTCAGTCCATTTTCCTGCTGATACACAACCTTGGAGGCAGCACATGGTGGCTCAAGTACCTGGACTCCTGCCACTCATGGGGGAAATCCAGATGGGAATTCTGGGCTCTGGCTATTGCAGGTATTCGGGGAATGAACCGGTGGACAGAATCTCTCTCTCTCGCTCATTCCCTGTTGTTCTCTAACACATTTTTTAAAAATAGACATCTTTAAAGTATATATTCCTCTCAATAAAAGGTGCTTTATCTGTACCTGTATATATCATTCATTCATACAAACACAACATTAAAAAGAAAAAACAGAATAAGGAAGCACTAGGCTTACCTCACACTTTCTGAATGATTTGTAACACCCAAATCCATGAAATGTGATATGATAATCCTGCATGAAAACTCCAAGGTGTGAAGTGAGCAGAGCCCTGGCTTGGGAGTCAGGAGGCCCAGGTTCTGTTTCAGGATGACTTTGAACTACTCATTTAGATTTTCTCACTATGAAAATGGAGGTTGGACTGGGTTAAAGGCTCTTCAGAATGCCCCAGGATCCCTATCCTTCTCAGCATTACATGGAAGGCTATGTTCTTCTCATGAAGGATCTGATAGGGTTTGGGGAAAGCATGGCAGAATTTCACCAGGATGAGAGTTGGGAAGAGATTACAGGTGGTGGTGGTGGTAGGAATCATTTATTACCCTCTATGGTTCTAAGCAGGGTGGCTGAGCTCAGACATGAATCTGGAATGAACTTACCCAAAGAGAGGAAGAATCTGAAAATAGCAGACGGAGGAGATGTGGAAGGCAAGGGTGTTCAAGTGTCCTGTTCTCTTACTATGTTTGCATTGGAACTTTATAGTGTACCATGAAATATGTTTCTTACACAGGGGTTAATAGGAAAACCAAGTGCCGGAGTATCCAGCTCCAGCTGAGTTCAGAGCTCGGGAAGGGTGCATGGAGTCGGCGATAAAGAAAGACACAGACACTTGTTGTGTTCTTGCTGCCTCTTTGCTGCCTTCTTTTTTCAAGAAGCAGCTGTTCTTTTTATTTACTTAGACACATCACATGCCTCTGCACAAGCATTTGATTTTTTATCTTTTACTTTAGAACTAAGACAGTATGCACAGATGTTCAATTAATTTTTACTTCATGGTCAACCAGGTGCTCTTAAAGATAATTCTGTAAGTTACTATAATCAGTTTCTTTAAAGTAAGCCGTTATTCATTCTTCAGAAGTGGCCACTAGGTGACAGCCAGAACTCCAAGGCCAAGGCACAGATGGTTACCTACTAATTAGTAAAACATTCCTACTACATTTTATTTTCACAACTGTATCTGTCACTTAATGGGAGAAATACATCAAAAGAGAAAAAAACATAAGGATCTAAGACAAAAAGTTTCAAACATTAAATCCCCCTACGACTGCAGGCTCTACAACCTCATAAGCAATCAAACAATAATCAAGTGTATATCTCTGTGATGTTAATAGAATCATCCTATATTTCCTCTAGTTAAAAAATTATGAAAGCGGCTAAAGCAGTTACATTTTCTATGCTCTAAAGAGTTGCAAGGACAGGCTAACCTTTAAGGTCACAGTACTTACATTTTTGCCATAGCAGTTTCAGCTCATACTCCCATCACTTCTATTAGTTTGTAAAATTCTTGTTAAGCCGTTTCCCAGAAGGCATGCTATATGTCTGGGCCCGATTTAAGGGCAATGGGTAGGCGCACAATAAGGTGTCCAGAAATGGCATGGGTTTAATTGTAGGTTTAATTGGACTCCTGTGCGCAGTTAAAGGCCCACTCACCAAGACATCAATAACATTAATTCTTAAGCTCACAGTAGTTGCCAAAGCCATCTCACAGGGGCAAACAATGCCTCAATAGATTACAGAATTCTTAGTGGGGTATTTGAGTGTCCATGCAAACAGGGGGTGAGACTGCGTCAAGGTGGTCAGAGAGAAATCTGCCGGGCCCTGCGAAACAGCTGGACGCTCCCCAGGCCCTGCCAAGCAGGGAACTGTTCTCTTCACACCTTTGTGTCATCTATACCTACTGCTCGGACCCCAGCAACCAAGGGTGAGATTTATGCTAGCCTGAGCCTCCTGGGTGATGAAATAAAGAAACGAATTGTTATTTTTTCCCAATCAGACTCTGAAATGCCCCTGGTGCAGTTCAGTAGAATGGGCGATGAAGACGTAGCCACTTGTATCTCCAAGGGCTGGTATCTCGCACCCAACGTGACATGGCTGGACCGTGCAGAGAGAGACCTGAGCAACCACAGCACAGTGGAGGTCCTCGAGGAGCAACTGAATGGCTTCTACAGGGTGTTCTCTGTCCTGAAATACCCTGTCAGGCTCCATGAGAAATATGTGTGTTACATAACAGAGACGGACGTGAATAACCAGCCTTTCCGGATCATCCGCAAGTATCCAAGTAAGTGCACAGTGAACCCATGAGAGCAGGGGATATTTCACCACTAAGAAGTCACCTTTCAGTAGTATTTACTGAATTCCTATGCATTTGGGGATTTCAAGAAGCATCAAGAACCTAAGATTGTGGATATCAGGGCTGGAAACGGTGGTGAGATGGAGTCTGTTACCGCAGACCAGGCTTCTCTTCCTTACCTTTGTCACAAGACAGGCTGAGAGCTCACAGCTGCCATTGAGAGCCTCTCACCATTTGCCCATTACTTCACATTTGACATCTGAAGTCCTTGCTCAGCTCTGAAAGGCAGTTGTTAGGAATGGCCCCCTTCAAGCTGAGGAAACCAGGAAATGACTAAGAACATAGCTGATAAGCACAAGAGTCAGACTTCACACCCGTTCTTTCTGAATCCAAAGTTTGTGAACTTTTTTTTTTCATGCCGCACTGCACTTACTGATACAAAACTACATACTACAGGAATAGAACCGAGTGTGGGGAAAGGCGGCCCCTGGGTGATAAGTCATGAGGCAAGAAATGAAGCTACTATTCTTACCATGAATCCTGGACGGTCTTAATGTTTCCACATCTAAGGCCTTAATAACTGTATTCTGTTGTGCCTTGTAGTTCCCTGACAGTCCTTTAGAGAAAAATTTGATCAACCATTTTTAATGTAGCTGTTCTAGTCCATCTTAATTGGTTATAACTCAGGGGTTTAATAAAGCATGTAAGAAAAAGAATGGATATTGATTGAGTGAGGTAGTCTTGCTTACCACATTTAGCCCACAGTGATCTCTGAATTAAATACTTGTGCTACCCCATTCAGCTAAGGAGGAAATTAGGGTATGAGAAGGTAAATTATTGGTCAAAGGCAATTCAGCTGATAGGGTTAGAGGCCAGGCCTTCAGTCTGGATCTAATTCTCAAAAAGGCCTGGGAATTTTCCACTGCAGCTTGAGTGACTCAGAGGCTAAGGCTAATTACACAATGTTAGTCCTAGTGCTGTGGTGCCCATAGCCTCAGGCAGTGGTCAGTGATCCGTATTAACACATGTGACTTCACCTGCCTCTTCATCAAGGAGAAAGTGATGCTGATGAGTAAGCATGCTGCATACACTAATGCCTCCTTTCTTGTGTCCTTGACTCAGAGACTGCACAAAGACCCCTAGTGTTTGCACGGAGCAGAATATGATTGAGGGTAGAGGTGGTGGGGAGCAGGAATGGGGACCATAGGTGTCTTCTTCTACCAACCATAGTGCATGGAAGAAGGAAACAGATACCTAGAGAGCTGAAATAGCTGTCCAAGGATGTACAGCTTCTGCACAACAAAGTTTTAAGTGAGTTTATCTTCATGCTTTTGTGGTATAGTTTATATAGACCTGGAACTTAAGGTATTTGAGATCCCATTGCCAAGCTTGGATCTCTCAGGAATCAGCTATGAATATTATACAACTGCTAAAAATATTCATTTATGGGCCCAGTATGGTAGTCTAGTGGCTAAAGTCCTGCCTTGCTTGCACTAGGATCCCATATGGGCCCCAGTTCTAATCCTGGCAGCCCTGCTTCCCATCCAGCTCCTTGCTTGTGGCCTGGGAAAGTAGTTGAGGATGGCCCAAAGCCTTGGGACCCTGTAACTGTGTTGGAAACCCTGAGGAGGCTCCTGACTCCTGGCTTTGGATTGGCTCAGCTCTGGCAGTGGCAGCCACTTGGGGAGTGAACCAGCTGACAGAAGATCTTCCACTCTGTCTCTCCTGCTCCCTGTATATCTGAATTTCCAATAAAAATAAACAAATCTTTTTAAAAATTCACTTACTAAAGAAAGGTTCACCATGCTAAAATTCTTGAAAGATTTATTTTATTTATTTGAGAAAGAGAGAGAGATGTTTCTTCAGTCTGCTGATTCGCTCCCCAGATGATCGTAAGAGCTAGGGTTAGGCCAAGCTGAAGCCAACAGCCAGGAACTCCAACCCCATCTCTCACATGGGGCAGGAGATCAAATACTCGGCCATCTTTTGCAGCTTTCCCAGGTTTAGAATTGACCTGGATCAGAAGTGGAACAATGGGAACTTGTCCAGCACTCCAATGTGAAATGCTGATACACAAACTGTGACAGCTTGCTGTGCCATGGTACTGGCTCTACAATAATAAGTTTTAAAAGCAACATATAAATTTGTATGAGTCCACATTGTTTACATACAGATTAGGTGGATACAAATTATTATTAATGATGATTCCTGGTTCCCTCTACATGATAGAATTATGGGAATTTTCATTTTTGTACTTGTTTCTTTAACGTAGGTTTCACTAATGAATATGAAGTTTATATAGTCTTCTAAAAAGGTGTGATTTTAATAACTTTATGAAAGATAATTCGTTTGTAATAAGATTCATAAATATGACATACATAATTGTTTTAGAGCATTCACAGAATTGTGCAATCATTACTAGGTAATTTTATAATCTTTTCATTACCCTGAAAAGAAGCCCTATACCTTTGCAGTCACTCTCCATTTCTTCCATTGTGTCTTGCAGTCCCAAGCAACTACTAATCTACTGTACAGGTAGCTATATAGGTTTTCCTATTTTAACCTTTGCAATAATTGAATCATATGTGATATGTGGTCTTTAGTAACTGCCTTCTGTCATTGAGAATAATGTTTTCAATGTTCCCCCATGTTGTGGTTTATAACAGTGCTTATTTCCCCCTTTATTTGCTTAATTTCAATACCATATTGAATTTATATATATATATAATATACAGTATATTTTATGTATCTGTCTTTGGTTGTTGGAGATTTGGGTAAATTATACTTTTTGAAAATTCATTGGAATGATTAACACTGCTGTGTATATTTGTATACAGTCTTTGTGAAATTTCACTTATCTTAGGTTTATACAGAATGGATTTAAGCCCTGTCCTGTGTTTTTTTTTAACCATTCAAACCACTGCTAGATTGTCTTCCAAAGTGGCTGCACATTTTTATGTCCACAGCAGCAATGTATGATTTCAGCGCAGAGTGATTTCTCAAAGTCCTTGACATCTCGCTCTTATCTGTTTTTGTTGTGATAGACTCCTGAGAGGTCTGAGTGGTTTTTGTGGTTTTGAGTTGCATCTCCCTGATGGCAAATGACATCATATTTTCATTTGTTGAGCTGTTTATCTTATTTGGAGAAATGTCTATTTAAATCCTTTGTCCATTTAAAAAAAATAAGTGATTTATCTTTTTCTTATTGAAATGTTGGTATATTTTTAATACAAAGTCCTTAGCAAATACATACTTTACAAATATTTTGTTCCTTTCTGTGTTTTTTTTAACATCTTTTACATCTTGATAATGTTATTTTTTTTTTAAAAAAAATTTATTTTATTTTATTGGAAAGTCAGAGAGAGGGGAGGTGAGACAAAGAGGAAGATCTTCCATCCAATGGTTCACTCCCTAAGTGGCCACCACGGCCAGAGTTGAGCCAATCCAAAGCCAGGGTCTCCCATGTGGGTGCAGGGTCCCAAAGCTTTGGGCTGTCCTCAGCTACTTTCCCAGGCCACAAAGGGAGTTGGATATATATATATATATATATATATATATATATATATATATATATTTGTGTTTGTTTAAAATACAGAGCTAGAGAGAGAGAGAAAGAGAAAAAGAGAGAGAAATGAGATCTTCTATCCACTGCTTCACTCCCCAAGTAGCTGCAATGCCCAGGACAAGGCCAGGCTGAAGCCAGGATCCAGGTTTACTGAGAGGGTAGAAGGGGATCAACTACTTGAGCCATTTCCACTCCTTTCCCAGGTGCATTAGCTGGAGCCTGGGAGAAGTACACCAACTGGGGATTTGGTTGGTGCTCATATGAGACATTGCCATTGCTGGAGACTTGCTAGCTCACTGTATCATGTCAGCCTGGACAATGTCTTTTGAAACACATAAGTTCCTGATTTCATTGAATTTATCTTTTTGTTTTTTGTCACTTGTTATTTTAGCATTATGTTAAAAAAGTCATTGTCTAAAGTGATATTTATTCCTATGTATTCTTCTAACACTTCTACAATGTTTGCTCCTGCATTCTATGGCCCAATTTACTTGTTGTTTTTTTTTTAAGATTTATTTTATTTTCACTACAAAGTCAGATGTACAGAGAGGACGAGAGACAGAGGAAGATCTTCCATCTGATGATTCACCCCCCAAGTGAGCGCAACGGCCGGTGCTGCACCGATCCAAAGCCAGGAGCCAGGAGCTTCTTCCGGGTCTGCCACACGGGTGCAGGGTCCCAAGGCCCTGGGCCAACCTTGACTGCTTGCCTAGGTCACAAGCAGGGAGTTGGATGGGAAGTGGAGCTGCCGGGATTAGAACCGGCACCCACATGGGATCCCGGGTGCATTCAAGGTGAGGACTTTAGCTGATAGGCCACAGAGCTGGGGCTGACCCAATTTACTTTTAAAAATACATTATTATTAATATTTTTGAATTATTTATTTGAAAGGTAGAGTGAGAGAGCGAGGATGAGGAGAGAATCCTCCAACCACTGGTTTCTTCCCCAAAGGCTACATTAGCCCAGGCTATGTCAGGCTAAAACCAGGAGCCAGTAAATCCATCCTAATCTCCCACATAGGTGGCAGGGGCCAAGTACTTAGCAAGAAACTGGATTGGAAGCACAGTCACCAGTACTCAGATTGTCACTACAAGATAGGCAAGTGACGGCCCCTCTTTTTTTCCCCTCCAGCAACTTAGATTAGAAAGTTGATTTATTGCCTTGTGATCTTTCCTTCTTTTTAATGTAGGCATTTAAAATACTAAATTACCCTCTGGACACTGATTTAAATGCAAGTTTGATATATTTTATTTTCATCTTAAAATATTTTTAATATCTGGGGCTGGCACTGTAGTCTAGTGGGTAAAGTCTTCACTTTGCAATGCACTGAGATCCCACATGGGTGCCAGTTCATGTCTGACTGATCCACTTCCAATCCAGCTCTCTGCTTGTGGCCTGGGAAAACAGTCAAGGACGACCCAAAACCTTGGGATCCTGCATCCGTGTGGAAGACCTGGAAGATGCTCCTGACTCTTGGCTTCAAATTGGCTCTGCTTCGGCAGTATGGCCATTTGGGGCCACTCTCTTTCCTATTGTCCTGTGTCTTTTTGAGAAGGCAGTGGAATTTATTAATTTAGCAAATACAGGTAGATTGCTATGTTAGTGCTAGAAATACAAAGATAAATGAGAGAGACAGAATTTCCACGCTTGTGGAGAACATAAAGATTGAATGAGTGAACACTGCAGAGCCAGAAGAGATATGATGGAGAGAAACCAGATGTACTGCACCTAGGGGGCTACCAGCATTGCATAGGGTTGTGCCTCTGCACACACCATCCCCAGGCAGCATTACCAGCACCACTTGGATTTTGTTGGAAATGCGCATAGTTAGGCCCATCCAAGACCACCGAATAAAAAACTCCAGGAATAGGCCTAGAACTTCGTTTTGTAATAAGGCCACCCAGTGTTCTCAAAGGTACTCAAGTTTGTGAATTACAGATGAAAAGTATCAGCCCCTGGTTGAGTAAAGACACCCAGGGTGTCTCTATTCTGTCTCTTCTGTAGGGATGGGGGTAGCATTTCCTCAAAGCCATGGTCAGCAAGCAA